TACCCAATCTTTTTTCCTTTAAATATGTGTTCCACTCTCCCAATTCTCCTGCTTTTCCTTCTTCTCCAGTAGAGATGCCATGAGAAAAGAGAGGTGAGATAGACCAGTCGGTCTTGAGCTTCTCCAAAGGAAAATAAAGAGCCAATTGGAGAACCGACATATCAGGGGAAAATTAACAGATTGAAGAGAGTGGAGGATGATGTAGAAAGAACCAAATTAAACAACACAGACGATCTCAACACAAAGGAAGACATTGTCATGGGCTTGAGTAAGCTCCCTGGTCCTGCTGAGTCTGAGAGAGACACTATCCATGCAATTCAGTCTTGACTTGGCTTCCCTCTACTGCACTATACTTCATCCAACAATAGCTCAGTAATTCCAAGGGCAGAGGAAGGAAGGAATGTATGTGCTGACAGGGAGGGTCACTGGAAACTGAAACAGAAGTCAGAATGAAGCACTTTCCTACAGAAATTTTTCAGATTCAGAAAGGCACTTTCCTGGCTCAAGGCTAAAGCCAGTGGGCCACCCTTCCCAACGATGTTCTTCAACCTCCTAGGACAAAAATATACGTCAGGGAGAGGTAATAAGTGGGCTAACATCAGTCCTCAGCTCTTCAAGGAGCCTGATGGACAAGGTGTCATTCTGAATGTGTCATTCTACTACTTAAGATTTTTCGATGGCTCTCCATTACCTAGAAAACAAAGCTCTCTATGACTTGGCCCCTCCTAACTTTATTGCTATATTTTTAGAACTCCTAATCCTATATTTTATGCCCTGAAGATAGCAAACTGTAAGTTTATTGCCCAGACACCATTATATGTCTGTGTCTCCATGCCTTTGCTCATGCTGCCCCATCATTCTGAGGCACCACTCCCTACATTCTTCCCTGTTCATGTCTATTCATCTCCAAGCTTCACCTGGGGCACTGTGTCCCACAAAGAGTTTTGTCCTGAAACCCAAGACATGTTCATTCCTTCTCCTCAGCAGTCCCATTGTACCCATGAACACCTTTTTGTACATTAACTGCCTTTTGCTGAAATTATATTTTTGTATCTGTCTTCCATACTATGAAGTCCTCTAAGGTGGGAACTGTGCCTGATTCATCTTCATACCTTAGCACAGTCCTGGCATACTGTAGGTTTTCAGTATGTATCTGTTAATCTAAATTCCACCAGATTTTAAAGCTCCATTAGGTTAGCTGATTCGTTTACTTATTTATTCCAGCCATACTTATTGAGTGTATTATTTTACACCAGGGACTCTTCTAGGTGCTGAGGAAACACCTGTGAATAGATGAGGCCTCTGTCCTCATGGAGCTCATATTTTAATAGAAAGAAGGTTGACAGTTGTCAAATAAACAAATGTTTGAAGGCAACAGACTATGCAATGGCTGAGGGTGGATGGGATGAGTTATCCCTACTTCAGCAAAGATGAGAGAACTTTATCAGGGCAAACCTCACGATAAAGTTGTTTTTTGTTTTTTTTTTCTTTTCCCATAGGCAGTGATTCACAAATATGGGGAAATTATGGAGATAAGCAAGTACAAACACATTCACTTATGCTGACATTTATATTCATAAACTGTTTTATAAGATGCATTATGTAATTCTTAATAATAATCACAGAAAAACACCATTGTATATTTCTGTATGGTGTCACTTTTGTTTCATTTGTTCTTAAGAACACAACAGAGGTCTTATTATCTCTGTTATGGGTTTGAAAACTGAGACTCAAATAAGATCAGTGGCTTATGCTAGGTCATAGAGCCAGTGTGAAAGCTGATATTTCCAACCAGGTTTTCTGATCTTAAAACCAGTATTCTTTTCATTATACTATGATGTCTCCCTCAAAGCTTTTTCAATCCCGTTTTTCCTAGAAGTTCCAACCCATTTCTCTTAGCCTTGCTGAGCCTTTTTATGTAATACTTCTCTCATATCAGATAGCTAGGGGGTTTCTGAAAGATTCAACTATTGCCATGTCAAGATGGTCAATAATGCCTAAAAGCATCTATCGAAAAGCTATTTATTAATATACGAACATGTGACTTCACTCAGCAAATATTTATTGAGAGTCCACCAGGTGCCAAGAGCCAATTTATGAGCTGGAGACACTACAAAAACAAAAATCAAGCAGATATGTTAAAATATGGACACATGAAGAGGAATAAGATGCTGACGTTGTGATGTTTAATTGGACACAAATCTGGTGTTGATACACTAGGGTGTGTGGAGAACCACGATAGTTTGATGACAACTTGGACACTCTTTGTTGTGGCTTCTACGATGGTATCAAGTTAAAAGGTGCAATCAGTCATCTGGGCTTGACAGTGGAGCCAGAACCTAGTATCAACAATCTGGAACAGAAATCCCATAGGCCCAAAGACATATAAAAGCACCCAGCTCAGCTTATAGAACGTAAAGCTTATAGTAACTTAAACGGCAATAGAAGACAGAAAAAGGAAGATAAAGATAAGAGAGAGAAGAAGAAATTTTAAAGTAACTGGGGACTGTTCTAAAGGTAAATAATTAACATGGGTAAGTGGGATTTACTAAGGAGCAAACCCCAATGTAGTTGGAAGATTTTGCTGTTTACTAAATTGCCAAAGAGAAATACCAGAAACGAGAGAATTTCCTAGACCTGCCTGCAGAAAAGTAAACTGTAATGATTAAGTGGAAACAAAGAATGTTCCAGGACTACAATACACTCTGAAGTATCTGTTTAAAACACGCAGACAAATGAGAAAGCCTCCCAAGTTCCTTGGAAAGACTATATATAATACGATGTACGTAAAGGACAGTGCGGGCAGAAGTTAGTAAAGTTCTTATTTTGCGTGCCACTTCCACCAATGTTTTGGACTTTCTTTTTTCTAACTTGATCTGGATTTAAATGCAAATTTATTCTGCTGGCTACGGTACACATATATTTTCATTACTACTTACTGTTATTGACACTTTTTCAGAACCGCCTTATATTTTAAGCTATTAAGTGTCTTTTTTTTTTTTAAAGCTATCTGCTCTCTACTTGGGCAGTGAGAGGGAGAGGTGGGGCAGGAGGGAGATTTTATTTACTTTAGGTTCTTCATTCATAAAGTCATTAGAGATATTTTCATGCTTTTATGAGAATTGTTTCAAAATGTTCAAGAGCATCTTTCTTGATTGACAGATTTGGGAAACTGCTCTTTTGTCTTAAAATACGTAATTGAGAGATGGTTCAATATAATCAGAAATAAGACTGGCCCTGAAGGCCACCCCTCGACCCTATCCAGGAGAAACTCCATACCCAGGGCTGTTTCACTACAAAAATAGATGTGTTCTCCACCGCAATCAATGCCTCATTCATTCCTGAGCCACATACGTGGTAAAAGAATGTACCTATTTCTGATGAGAGTGCAATTCTAATACAGTGTGATCTAACAGTGTTTAAGAGCCTTTAGGGGTTCATCAGACACTGAGTAAGTTATACCTTTATTCTATCCAAATGGGAGTAAATCCCAGGAAAGAAATGTTCTATACCTACTGCAGTTCCCCTGAGAATGACAGTGCAGTCTCCGCTGTTGGCAGAAGACTAGGTAATGTCCTAGAGAGACAGAAGCACTCTGTAATCTGTCCTTCAGATCAAGAACAACACAAAGCTGTAACTGGATTTTCCCTCCTTGTCACGTCTTTCTTTCCTACCCCTTCCTCTCAGCTCACACATGGTTTATTGTAGCAATGTCCAGCTCAAGCATCATTTTTTCTCCAAAACTGACTCCCCTCTAAAACTTATCTGTTTCTTCTACTCAACTGGAAGATTTAGTCTGTGGCACTGAACACACGGTGTTTTGAATTATAACTGTTCACTTACCAATCTCATCTCCCAAATAGATTATAAAGTCTTTGAGCACAGAGACCATGGCTTATAAACAAACACTGAAGTAAGTTACAGCACAAAAGAGGTACCCAATGGTTATCTGATAAATTTATCCATTCAAAAAATACTTATTATGTATCTATTATATACCAGGCATAACAGGCGCAACTCCTATCTGGACATGACCCACAGTTGTGTGGTATGAATGAATGAATGTATGTGCAATACTACCTCATATATGACTGATGTTCAACGAATTGCAAATAACCATAATAGGAATGAAACACATGTCCCAAGAAGAGGGTCATAACATGTCACAGGGATTTTTATAAGAAAGAACACTGTTAGCTACTCAAAATATTCCTCAAAGAAATGGTATAGCTATCTTAGGCAATCAAGCTTAGATTAACAAAAATGTTCAGTATACTGCTCTGATGACACAGTGTTCTAAAAGAATTCTCCCAAATCAAGTCTGATTCTTCTTGCCTCAACAATTGACCTTAGAGATTGAGCTTACACTTGACCGAAGCTCCTCTGCTCTCAGACACAGGTCTCAACACATCAGCTACAAAAGTGACAAACGAGTAACGGCGAAGCCCCACCGCTTTCTCACAGCTTTCAGAGAAAGAAAGGGAATAAAAGGAGAAGCCAGTTTTCTGGGCCTTGATGTTATACCCTGAGAATTCTCCCTCATCTCAAATAATGAGACCCTTGGGAACACCAAGCTTGGCCAAGGTAAAATAATACATATGTTATGTTTTAGGTAAGACACATGACCACAGATTGAGCCACTTTTAGTTAGAGCTTCCCTACGTGCCAAGTCAAAAGTACAAAATCAAACTTTACAGGTGTCTAGTTTCTTATGATTCCAAAGTCCTTTCATTTGTGTTATCTAATTTATAAAGCACAGTTACCTGTGAAATAAGGTTTGCCATTACTTAGATGAGAAAACAGAATAGAGCACTTTAGCAGTGAACCCAAGGTCATGCAACCAGCTTAAGCTCTAACTAGAACCTAGGACTCTACTTCCAAGTCCAAAGTCTTACCTGCTACCACCTATGGCCTCATAGATTAGGTGACAGAGCCAGTCATTGAACAGAAAAATTTATTTGTTCTTAGGCAGTGCATTAAGTGGAGCTTGTGAACTTTACCTCTTTAAGGCAGCCCATGAAGTTGTTACTGACGGGAGAGCCTGGCAGGTCAGCAGTGCTTGGGCTTCCTCCCACGTAGAAGAAGTCATCCGAGCCCAGCATGGTGTAGTCCTCTTGAGTGTAGCCTGTCGTGGTAAGGATGCCATCCACAGATATTGTCACCTGGTGGAGGGACATAGGGACAAAAAAAAAAAAAAATCCCAACAATGACCTTACAGTCCTATCAAAATCCGGTGGCTTCCCCCACCTGTGGCTTCACTTTCATTAAGATTTTGGTGAGGAATTCTTTCTAATTTGGTTTGATTTTGGTATGTGCTGCCAAGTTCCATTTTCTGGTCTGCCTTCCCTGCGGCCCAAGCCTCCAGCATTCCCCTGCAGACTCCTGTGGCAGTTTGTTGGCACTGCCAAGCTCAGCAAGTTGCTCTACCCACTGCATTCTTAGTCAGGCTAGAAAATGGAACTATCCTCAGACGACATCACTTGTCTCAGTCCATTGATAAATGATCATTTAATTACTGGTTGTTAATTATGGTGGTAGTGAAAAACAGCAAAGGAGACATTTGACGATGAGTTTGTTAGGGGTTGGTCTTTGGTTGTGCATGGTTTTTTTTTTTTCCTTTTTTCTTTTCTTTTTCTTTTCTTTCTTATTTCTTTTTAGACTCACACCACACTGACAAACATGCATTCAGGGAGGGAAGAAGAAGGGTCTCGATTGTGATGTGTCATGGACGATACATGCCATGGGCTTGGCTTCCCCAGGACACCAACCCCTACCCTCCCTTCGCTGCCATCACCACCACCAAGAGAAGAAATGACCCAAACCAAAAGGGCAACTCCAACAAAAAGAAAGGAATGATGAGGCATAATAATCAAAATAATAATAATAATGCCCACAGAGAAGAAAGAGCACCCATATACCCAACATCCATGAAAGGAGCAGAGGGCAGAGAGAAGAGATGGGGCCTCAAAGCGTGCACACACCATACGCTGACACACCCATGCAAAAATTATCTGGAGCCAAGAGAGAAGGCAGAAGAAAAAAGGCAGGGAAGTAGGAAAGGGTGAGGGGAACTAAAGGAAAGAATCAAAATCCACTTCATCCTTACATGCACTGCACAAACTGAAAAACAAGATGGAAGTGAAAAATATATCACTCGAAACTATAAAAGGTAGTCTTTCCCCTGCTTGCCACCTCCCTCACTGAAAAAAAAGAAAAGAAAAAGTCCAAACCCAACCCCAAAATATATGAAGGATGAGAGGAGAATAAAAAAGAGTGAAGACAAAAAAAAAGAGAGACAGAGAGAGAGAAGGAAATGGAACTGGGTTGATAATTATCGGTAGGCTGTTAGTAATGAGGAGGAAATGAGGGAACAAATTCTGATGCCAGCGGAGACATCCACGAGACAGGAACATGCCATGCAGAGTTTGTACGGAGAACACAATTGGAGAAGCTCCCTTTGGCCACGGTGGGGAGTGAGGTGAGAGAGGGGAAAAGAAGAATCCAGGTAGGAAGTAGAGTACTTTCCTCTCCAGATCACCTGTGGCAGCCTTGGCCACACGAAAGGGAAAGAAAGCGGGGATTAAGGAATGGGGAGAGTAAACGGAGGAAGAGAGAGAGGGGTAGGAAGACACGGAGATTAGAAAATTCCTCAGTATAAATCCTGCCATCCCTATTCTGTAGCTTCAAAGTGGCAAAATAAGAAAACCAAAGTAAACAAATTTAGCTAAATGGAGAAACTTTCCTTAAAAAATATTTTTTTTTGGAAAGGAAACAGTTTCGACCAAACTTGTCCAAATAACATTTGCAGGACAGGTTCATCCCCTTCCTTCTTTTTTTTTTTTTGTTTTTCTTTTTTTTTTCTCAAGAAAAAGAAAATCTTGCATTTAATTCAACAAAAGTTTTAAAAGAAGAAGAAATAAGTATAAAGAGGACAAAAGGGGGGTTGAGGAGGAAAGGGGGGCAACACACGGCAAACCCAAAAAAAGAGACAATAAGAATGATATCTACCAGACAATGTAGTTTGTTTACCATAGCGTGTCCGATGCCTGAGTGCTTTGCGGAAAAGGGGGAAGAAAGGAAATTAAAAATTGTGAACAGAACGATTGTTAATTAAAAAAACTAAAAAACAAAGATGAGTCGTTAGGGTGTTAGTACATTAGTCGGTTAGTAAAATGACACATTGCATGAATGATCTCGTGTTAGTTTTTCAAAAAAAAGGCACCCAACACAGAAAAAGAGAGTGGGGGAAGACAATGAGACCAGGACTCTATGGAAAACCTCAGCGCCCAGGGCACAGCCAGGAAAGGAGGTGCAGTCCACCTTGTCATTTAAATCCCCGCTTCTTCCAAATACCACTCAGAGCGGACCTCACCCCAGTTAGAATTAGCATCATACTTACTTTCCGAGAGCTCTTCTGAATGAACACCACCCTCTTTACCTTCACACCCTCTAGCCCATGCATAGTCCACCTGTCCTGAAAAAAAAAGACCCCCAAAATTTATCATTCTACATGTAGATAAGTAGATAGAAATACCAATACGTTAGGGATTTTTTTTCACATCTGATTCTGACTAAATGCATGGACGACCATGACTTTCTCCTAGAACAAAAAGAACTTAAAACATGTACAGGTCACACCTGGCATAGGAAGTCTACATTATGTACCTTACTCTGGGTTTCCATAGGTAACATAAAGATCCACAACCCCACTGACTTTGTATGGATTTGTGCAGTGGGAAGGGGGCATTTTTCTCTTTCCTTCCCTCTCAGTTTAGAATAACTGTGTGGTTAGAATGCATCAAAAGAGTTGGAGACTTCTCTATTACCCAACGAAGTTATTATTGCTCTTCCTTTCCCAGAATGCTTCCTGTTGAACTCGCTCTCCCACCATTAGAATGCTTTTCAAGCTTTTAAGCAGTTTCTTGTACAGAGAGCAGAGAGGATTGGCCGGTTAAACATAAGAGAGGCCCTGCAATTAGTCTCCTCCTTGCTGTTTTCCAATGCTAAACCGCCAACACACCCTGAGCTGGGAGGCCAGAAGGCTGGAAGACTGGTAACCCCAGTTTTGTGTTTGAGGTTTGACAAAAATGACATATAGAGGTAAAGCAATTCATGTGATGGCCATGACGCTGGACTCAGGCAAGGTCGTGGACCAAAAAACAAACAAACAAACAAACAAACAAGAAAAAAAAAGCAATACCAAAAAAAAAACCAAAAACCCACAGAAATACCTAACTACCATGGTCCCTAATCCCAGTTATGGTTTGGAACAGAGTCCACATTCTTTCCTTTGATTAAGTATCTGGCCATGGCCCTGACTTGATTCAAAGGCAGATCCACAAGTAGATGACCATGAAGGAGGAAATGGGACAAGCTCTGCTCCGTTTGGTAATGAAGTTCAAGTAAGCTTTTCTGAAATGAATCTTTGCCACAGAAGCCATTCAATCTTACCAAA